TTTTTTAATCAAAAGCTATGCTTTTGTACTGCACAAAATTCTAAGGCTTCTCACAATCTGGTAATACGAAAAAAACGTGAAACATCGCAGTGTTTATCGTTATTTTGTTTGGAGTAAAATTCTCTATAAACTTTTTATTTGCCACTTTACTGCTCAGATTAATAACTGCGGAGTTACAAATAATGAAAAATGTTAAAAACATTAAAATTACATTTTGAAATATCAAAATTGGCCTTAGGTGGAGTTGTCAAAATTGCAACTCAACAACAATTCAAACTGCATTTATAACCTCTCTTGATTAGCCAGCAAGTTACATTCTTGCAATGGGATTAGAAACAGTTTATTGAGTCTATTTCAGTGCACCTAACCTGATTTTTTAAGACTAACCATAAGTGAAATAAACTGGAAAACATAAGCAACAAAAGATTAAAACCGAATAAATTAACTGTGGAAATGTTCTTTTGGAAACGATATTTTAAATCTATACCAAGAACCATGTTACAATTGTTTGTTTGTAGTTCATTAGCAATGGTGCTAAAGATGTTTTAAGTGATTACATTAAATACGGCATGCGTGACGAACGAGTTATTAGGCCTCGTGTTCCTATTTCCTATAGTGTATTTTGAAATACACTGCAGGCATTTGAAATAAATTAACTTTTCGAGTGAAATACACAATAGAAGAAGTTAAGCTATTACAAATTCCTGTTTAGAAATTAAAGAAAAGCTCCATAAGTTTAAGTTAAGTCTGCAACTTAACATAAGCAAGCAAAATATTTGGTGATCAGTAACTGTCTACTCAATGCTGTTTTTAATAATGCATCAAATTTGTATTTCTCTGCATTAGACGCACTGTTTTCAAGGGCTACATGATTGATAATGGAAAGAAAAGTTGAAAAGTTGCCAATGTTAATGAACCTTTTCAAAGTATACTTTTTACGAGGGGACTTTTTAAGAAATTCAACTTGGGGCTGCAATATTTTTCAGATACAAGCCAACAATTACAAAAAAATTATTAAATAATCCATCAACAACTAAGATGGTTCGGAAACTTGCATGTTTTATTGTGATTTCAAATTTCATAAAACCTTAAACCCAAAAAAATATTATTTTACAACTCTATCCTGGGACAGGGCCAACTCTCAAGGGACTTGGGAAAGTAAAGACCCTCCATCTTTATTGCTGCAAAATCACCAATATATTTCCTATTGGTGCCTCCCTTAGGAATCCAATTTATGTTTAAGGCAAATAACTCCAAACTGTCTGCTATTTTAACCAATCACTCGTAAGTTCCCAAGAGTATTATTTACAGTTTTTGATCAGCTCCTTCAGCGCTATTCAACGATCACTTCTGCATATGAAATGCTCATTTTATAACTTCAACGCTGCACGTATGTACTTCTTATAGCGGAAAGTATGTAATAAAAACCGTTCTACTCTGTTGTAAAATGTGAAGCTTTGATGTGGAGGATTAGGCTGAACAATATCCTAACCGGTATGGAAGACGTTTGATAGGTTTCAATGCCCTTTTGTGACTGCTGAAGAACTTTAATTTCAAACTATTTGAAAATGGCTTACGATTGAACACCCAACAGATTTCTGGTACAGTCGCAAAAAATCATTGATAGTATTACTAGATGAATGAGAGCTAACAACAATAATAGAACAGAAATATTTTAAAACGCAATAAACCCTACCACACTGACATGATTCTACATGGAAAAATCTATTGAAATCCATCAATAGGACTTACGTTCTAGTGAATAGTACAAAGTGAATTTCAAAGCTTATTTACGCTGACAATTTCATTCTCTTTAGCTCGACTATCAAAGAGGTAAAGTAAATCCATTTAGCTAAATGGCAACACAAAAAGTACAACAAGCCAAACAAAGCGACTGCAATCTGCCTATTTGCCTATAACGTTTGTCGGTTGTGTTAATTAAAAACGCATTTTCGGTTCTCTTTGATGAAAAAATATAAGATCGAAACAATGCTTTGACGTCATAACATTGTCATCGATGGTGTTCTGTTTAACTGCAAACAAGGACGACGTGAAATATGAAACATGGGGCCGTGCATGCTATCAAACTACGAATCATCATATGCTAATTTCATGTGAAGTTGGTATTTCAGCATTTTTTATATTCAAACAAACGCAATTTAATGGCACAAAGGAATATTACGGAACTTCCATTTCAAGCAGCTCAATAACTATATCTTCCAATGATCCTGACCAATAAACAAGAATAATTTTCGTATACACGGTGATTCAAAATTGGCCATAAATATTGAAATTTTTTTTCGATAATTTCTAGCTGCTGTTAACAGTTCAAAATCGTTATAATGCATTATTTTGAAAATGTTTCATGCTTAACTGGTAGCATATTGGAATACTTAAGCATTCAAAAAGGAAAATTACGATCTTTGCTTCAAATTATGAAAAATTTTCATATTAAAAAAGTGTTATTGAATTAGGCAGATTACCTTGAAAAACATTGTTGCCGTATTTCTATATAGTTTTTTGGCAAATTTATCAGTTTTTAATAACAATTAATATTTTTTATATTTTTTTCTGTACTCCTTAAACAACGCCAGACAACACCTCCAGACGAATCACGCCAATTTCGAATCACCCTGTATATTGATACATATTGATGAAGTTTGTTTCGCATATTCTTCGTACAAAATATTCTCAACAGACATCAAAATGAATACACCTAAGCTCAATAACGGGGTAAAATTCCTACTGTTTTAAAGATTCACTTGAAGCCCCGATTTGCAATTCAATTAGCCTCTAATGCATATCCGGTCACAACACCACGACAACTCAATAGAAATTAATTTTTTCCATCCCATTAAAAATTAAAAAACGATTGCTCAACACACTTCATTTTTTTCAACTATTGACTTAGTCTTTAAGTAAACGACACGTAAAATAAAATACAGCCTATTATGGAGGGAGGAAAAAGCTTTCAGCTTAAATTACAAACAGTATCAACAGATATCATCTCTCAAATGAACTGCTTCATCCCTTCTGAATAGCCGCAAGTTGTTTAGTCCAAACAAGTTCCGCGGGGTCTAACAACCCTGATAAGTAATTACTTAGCCAACTCAATAAAGCTTGGGATTAAATAGGGTTGCTGGTAAACCAAGTCAAATAGTTTATCAAAGGAAACTTCGAAAAATGTAGTTTCCAATTCCACAATTGTAAAGCCTAATTATACGAAATTATACAATTTTTAATTACATAAGGATGTTTACAAATTAAAACTTCTAACTAGTACCAATTTTTCAGAAATATAGTCAAAAATGAAACAAAACCAATGTGAATAGAGAAGCATAATCTGCATCTGCCTGCAAAATCCGAGACGATACCAGTGCAGCCAAAGTATTATGCCTTTGACTGAACAGATTAAAGCGGTGAACATTTTAACAATGGCTACAAATTGTTGATATGCGTACAATACAGCAGAAAATCTCATTACATTATCTACTTGGGATTCTATTGTCTTATACATTTAACTAATTTATCCACAAATTGGGGATTCATGTGAAAACGGTTAGAGATAATACCATCCAAATTATAAATAATTTAGATTAAAAACTCTGAAATAGCAGACATTACACCGTTGAAAACACCAGACATTTTTAAAAAGGATTTACAAAAAAATGTTAACAAAGTATGAAACATCGATCTAACAGACAGTTCCTTATCTAAGGATAACTATAGTGACTTTGTTATTTGTATATGAAAATTCTATTTCATAGTAATTTTCGATCGTAATCGACATTTGTAAATGTACTAAACTATTCTTTATGGAGGCATTAATCATTGAAATGAACTACGATCATTATGGACAAACTTTACTAGGGCAAATCGTTTATTTCGCTTTAGTTCGGACCCTCATTCACTTAAATGGGTATATAAAGAATGATTATGGCTCGTAAAGTGATACTAAAACTCTGAAATACCGCAAGACTGACCAATCGGGAACATAAAATTCACTTGCAAGTAAAAATGGAAAGATTCGAATATTTTTAATTCCCCACTAAAATTTCATGTTATATAATCGATTTCAACGATATATTTTGGGTCGTTTAGATTCTAAAATCAATGTGATGTGCACGCGATTTAAGGTCTAAACTTCGATACGCCCCTGTGGCCTTTCTCAAAAGTGGTTTGTTTTTCTTTCACTTCTGCCAATTTCTTTCCATTCCTTGCTCTCAATTAGTGCTATTTTCCAATTTCCTGACTTTCCACGTCTCAGATAAGTGCAATATCGGACGTTCTTTCGACAGTCCGTTTTGTTGTGTCCCGATATTATTGATTCGTTACGTGACCACATTTTAATAAGCAACTTGGACCCAAACGAATTACAATTACGTTCAGTTTGATTATATGAATGAGAAAAACGCACTAGCCGACATAAATTTGGGCAAGGCATGATATTTCTATGGATACTCAAATTAAAGTAATTGGATATAAAAAGAAATACGTAAAAATAAGAATGTTAGAACCAGAAATTAATAAACCGATTACTAGCTAGATATGAAACGTTTGTATAGAGAAATCAAAGGAAAACAATCGGTTTTAATGTATTTATTATTTTCTAATTTAAGTAATTTAAGAAGAACCTGAGCTGATTGTATGATTCATGAATGAAAACAACAAGGTCAAAAATTATTATCTATCTTAAACCCTGTTTGTCCCGACGTATTAAGCCGATTTCAAAAGAAAGAAACAGATTTAGCAAAACCGCATTTATCAGAAATAAAAGTAAGCTTTTCTAGAATAATTCCTACAGAAAATATTGCCCCCACAAAAGTTTATAGAATTACTGTTTTGTTTCTTATATTTCCTATATCTAACATTTCTATCTTCCTTTCAAAATGTAAAGCTTAACCGGAAATCTCACTGTTTGGTAACATAATTTCATAAAACGGGTCAACTTTTTAAAATTAATAAACATGACAAAATAGTGTTATTGCTTAACGACTTACCTAATGTTTGATGGAAGATCTTATCAAAAGACACTTCGTTTTTCTTCTCTAAATACTTATGCATCACACTACGGACACTGAAACAAAACAAAAATATATTAATCTAAATACAAATGTACACAGAAAATGTCAAAAGGGTATTAAAATCTACATATGTATATACTTACATACGCTATTTCTACTTAACATTCGAAAATATTTTTATTATTCATTTTAAAAAACAAAGTTATTTTTCATAAAAATAAATTGTATGGTCTAAACCCACAATTTCAATAATCAAATTAAATTTTTGGTGGTGTCTATGAGGTTTCTAAAAAATAGGAATTTGGCGTTCAAGTATAACGTAGTTTTTTTTAAGACATCGAATCGAGCATATTTTACGCATTTAAATTACAATATTTCTTATAAACATAAGTACTGGAAGGTTATCACGCATTTAGAAAGCAAAAGACGTAAATGTTCATTAGTGGAATTAAAATTTTAAAACTTAATTTTTTGAGAATGAGGAAATGCAGAGAAAAGTTGCGAAAGAATAACAAAACCTGCTTTTCTAGGGTAGCTACATAGATGTAATTGCTTATTTGAATGTATTTTTTAACATTGATAACTTTCGATATAGTGAACTTTACTCTGGAGACAAACTGAAATTATTTGAGAAACGTATACAATTTAAAAATTAACTTAATATAACTAGGCTTTTGATAGTGTTGAGTGAACACTGGGCAGTGAAAAGCTCGCTAATTAATAGCAGAATAGACTACAGATACACAAAACTCATAACCAATAATATATAGCAAAGCAATAACAACAATTAAAATCCATGACGGAACAAGACCAATACACACACATAAGAAGAGGTGTCAGACAGGGCGACACAACATCATCTAAACTTTTTAACCATGCCCTAGAAGAGGTCTTTAAGAAATTAGACTGGGAAGAAAAAGGTATAGAAATATGTGGACAATACCTGAACAACCTAAGATATGCTCGAAGAAATGGAGACAGCAGCTAAAAATATAGGTCTTAATATGAACCACACAATCAGAAACAAGAACAACAAGAAAAAATAGAACAAGTCGATGAATACATATATCATAAATAATTAACTCAACAAGGAAATCCAAACAGCATCAAGAGACGAGTTAGATTGGGTTGGGCAGCATTCGCCAAACTGAGCTACATCCTAAAAAATAAAAAATATGCACAATACCTCAAAACCAAAGTATATTAATGTGTAGTGCCTGTCTTCACCTATGGATCCCAAACATGGACATACACAGAAAAATATCGATAAAGTAACAAGGTCAATGGAAAGACAAATGTTACATGTTAAACTGATAGATAGAAAGAGAAACGAGTGGATAAGAAATAAACCGAAAAACGAAAGAGATAGCAAAATTAAAATGGACATTCGCCGGTCACAATATCAGACAAAAAGACGAATAATGGAATACATGTATTCTAAACTGGAGACCCTGGGAAAGTAAAAGAAGTAGCAGAAGACCCCAAATGAGGTGGTCGGATGACCTGAAGAAGCACTCTGGAACTAGATGGATGAACATCGAGGCAAACAGGGAAAAGTGGAAAAGACTGGGAGAGGCTTATGTCCAAATATGGACCGAAGAAGGCTAATTAAATAAATAGATAGATACAACTTAAAAATTAATATCATGGTTGCGTTATAGATTTTTTACCATGTAGACTTTTTCCTCAAAATCTATACTGCCTAATTTATTGCTAAATTGTAGCTTGACCTTAAGTGTTAGCTTAAAAATGCATCTAGGAAGGTAATAAATAATAAGCAGACTTTTAGAAAATAACGAGTGACGAAAAATATTGCATTTTGCGAACCAATTACCGTCAATCAGAAGAAACTTGAAAGAAAAACATGGACTGCTGAGTATTTTCTTGAAAAATGCATTGCAGATGTACGACGAAGTCAATATTTTAAAATATAGTACAAATTTAAAGTACAGTTCACAAATCTGAAAGTAAAGTAAAAAAAATATATACAAATTGTATCATAGCTAATGATAATGACACCTAGATATCATAATTTTCCTGAGATAGCTGACGTAATCTATCAATAAATGTCCTGTAATATCATTTAGTTGATAATACTTTTAAAACGCACAAGTATTGTTTTGTGAACACAAATATCAATGATTGCTAATATGGCGTCATATCACCGTATGACGCCACATAACTAGGCGATAGGAAAGGTGACCCTAACAAACTGATAATGCTTATACTATAAAAACAATATAAGCATTAGGAACCAATTAGGTCGGGTGGGTGTAAAAAGGCGTCAAAAATCAGTCGGCGCTTCAAAATTAGCTTTTGAAGCAACATTTACATTCGGGATATATGCTAGGAATTGATGTTTCTCATTACTTTCCAAATGAAGGCCAGAATGGAGGATCATAATCGAGGTGTTCCCAACACCTACACTTCGTCTGGCAATGCAACACATTGTAATACAATTGCAATACAATGTAATACAACATTGCATACAACACATTGTAATGTTTGGAATAGGTGGGATTGTGCATGTATTAAGTAGAGAAGGCCTCGTTGCCGAATCACTCTAAAGTAAAGATGCCGGTTTTTTTACTTGCACATTTAGCAGAAATCAACAATAAATTATCATAAGTAAAGTTGGGCTAAGGTAGTTAAGTGAGATGTCGTGACAATACTACAGAAGGGAAAAGAAGACCACCCACAGAGACAATCGAGAACGATGCAATGAATAATGTGAATAATAATGATTTAGAGTAGTGACTAACTCGATTTACTGTTGTTGAAATCAAACAAATATTTTTAATTCTGTTGCAGCAAGTAGAGAAAGTAATTGTTGTCTCGTATGTCTAAATGTTTAGACTGATGAATCTATAACATGAAGAAATATTATTTAAGGTTGTCCTTTAATAAAATTTTATCTGAATTACTTATAGATTTACAATCCAGCAAAAAAAATTTGAGTACTTTTCCAGAATCATCAACAGCGTCAATCGCTTTCTTTTTATGCAAAATGAGTCCTGAAAACTTGAAGTTAAAATCTCAGAAATCCCAGTTGAAATAGCTTCAAACTCTGCTTTTAAAATGAATATAAAATTATAATATTAGATCATAAGCTTCTTCTTACAGCCTATAGAAACTCTAGCTAATCAACCAAAAAGATAATTTAAATTACGCTTTCTAGTAATAGTATCTCAATTCTAAACTGTAATACATAATCAGAAGTAAGCCATGAAGAAATTTCCAAGCTATTTAAACAATGTTTTCTACTTATGCTTTGGTCACCTTAAAACTGTATTATCATTTTTGGTATTTAGCCTTGGCAGAAGTATTAATGCACGTAATAAGCTGTTGGACAAACCTTTCCAATCTACTACAAGAATACCTTGAAAGTAATTGAAAAGTAGGTCCTTTCAACTTAAAGAAGACGCTATTGCACATATTCCAACGTTTCCAAGAGCAAAATCACAAAAACTCTCAAACTCAAATTGTTTGCATACATTTCATTAATGGTTACATATTTTCAACCAGAAAAATATCTACTGAAACTGTACTGTAATTAAGCTGAGATTATCGTTTTCAAAAGGTTATTCCGTCACAATCCAGTATTTCTTATTTGAATAACTGCATGCGAAAGTCGTCATTGAGCCAAACATGTTGGCAAAAATTGCACCTGTTGTCAGTACTTTTGCGGAACTCTAAGCATGATTTGATAATTAACTTGTTTACGCACGTCATCCCGACTTGTACCATTTGTGAATGTCACGCCCGACTGTAACACTTTGCTCAAAACTAAAACGCATTAAAATTATTATTGTAATCACCCTGTAAGAGGTAACAGCTAAGTGCTAAATAACACGTACCTTATCTATGAATAATTAATTTTTGTTAGAATAATAGAATTGCAAATCCAAAAAAATATTTGCGTTTCGTTTACCCACGAAACTAATAAATGCGTTACTTTACAATGTTTTCCGTTAGATTGGAAACAACAAAAATTGCCATGGCGAAAAATAAAAGTAATTTTCTTAGCAAAACTTTTTTTTTCGGAAGTCTGCAAAATTTCCATTCCAAGTTCATGGAGTTAAACATTTAAAAAAAAGCATAATTTTAGTGCTCTTAATAAGTTTAGAACGCAGAATATAACGAAACCTAATTTTAATTTATCTGTTAATCCAGACAGTTCTCATGATTAAACACGTAAAACATCTTGCAAAATGCTGGATCAAATTTATCCAGTACCAAACCTAATGCATATTGAAACTACTCACAAAAGCGCAATAACTCGCATCAGCACTGAATACAAAAAATAATAACAAAGTTCGAAAAGTGCCGCAGGAATTCTGCAAAGAAGCAAATGAAATCGAGACGTAAGAAACCAAGGCAAAACTGAAAATGAATTTCAATGACGATAAAGTAGATGGGCTAAACACAACACCGGGAGAAGAAGGTGAACCAGAGCCAGACAATAAGGGAGAAAACCTAAGATGTGGTGAAAATAACAAGTTTTCCAAAAATCGAATTGGCTAAAATAGGTGTGTTTGGCTTGAACGTTGGTGTCATGAACATTGTACTAAATATTTAAATAAGTGCGGGAAACATTCAAATAAACTCGAAAAAATGAATAGGTACATAATCATTAACAAATCATTACCTCATCCACATATCATTTATTAACTAACCCCGAGTAGCAAGGTGAATTATATATTTTTTATAACAATGAAACTTCTTTCCTAGTTAAAACGTTTTTTTTTTCGTTTACAGGACCTTACTTACTTAAAGTTTTCCATATATGTATGCCTAATGATTCCTAATGATCTGCAAATATTTTAAGGTGTTTAGAAGGTTTAAAAAATCGTTCTTTCTAATCAACTTTTTATTTGAAATTTTCCTGCGGCCATAAAAACGTAATCTTAAAAAATCGAAATTTTTTGCATGCTTAATTTTTACAAATTTACTTCGCAACAAACCTTTAAAATAGGTGCATTGCATTATGACACACCCTGTACATCCCTTCTATGTTCAATTTCATAAAAATAAACTGCGTTTAAAAAAACAGTCGTTTAGACTAGTTTAGAGTATTATTCACCATTTACTTTCCTTTTAAATGACCCTATTTATTATTTCGTCGATTATCGTCGATGCCAAACATGTTATAAGTGGCAGCAGAATAACGGCTTTCGTAAATAACGGACAAAACGTTCTAAAATTTAAAAAAAGCCGGTGATGTATGGAGAAAACCACCAAAAGTACAATAATTAAGTGGAAGAAATGTGGTGGAGAAACAAGAATCGTAAGTAGAACGGAAGTTTTTCCGCTAAGTAATCTTACAGTTAATTTCAAAAACATAAGATCTGCTTTCAACTGCAGCAGATAGTGTTCGACTGTTAACTATTATGGCACTTTCTACATTGGAATGAATGTCAATTACTTAAATACTGTTAATTCAATATTTGATAAAACCAAATAGCACATATTTGCAATATCTCTTTTAATTGCCTTCGTCGGAATTGCAAAGTCATATTAGTAGTAATAAATGCAGGACACTATACAGTTCAACACGTTTAATCAATGCAAATGTGGGACCTTATCGGTGTTTGTTATAGAATTAAGCGATAAATATCGAAATCGAAAAAGCCTACAGCAGATTAGGTACTACTAAAATATCTAAGTACACATCGATATCAACCTAAGGTAATTATATGGTCTATTTGATAGATCACTTCGTCTTTAATAGCTTAGAACTGATTTTTTCGTCAATTATTTACAAATATTAATATGATTACAGTTTTGACTAATTCAAACCAGCATTTTGTTTGCATGCATTCCAATAACACCGACCATGTGCTCACATTTCAAAGTTCATGTTAATGTATTGGCTGTTTAGATTGCTATTTCCTGTTAAACATAAAGTTTGTATGCATTTTATGGTTTATGTGCACTGATACTTCGCCATACCAAAATAATCGAATTTTCGATTTTCAAAAGACCTTCCAAATTTCCTTTGGTTTTACTATTTATTTTTTTTAGGTCAAATAGTGCATACAAAAATAAATAAAAATTCTAAATATGTTAAAGACAGCAAATGAGCAAGTTTTGCAGTTTTCGCTAGATATACAAAATATCTAATGAAAAAATGTTTTTCCATGCAAATCCCTGTAACTTTTAATCACTCGCCTATTAGTTTTCTAGCAGAGTAGATCAATCAATGATCAAATCATTTGTCAAATAAAGCGTGTAATTGAAAATGAATGAAACAAAAATCTAGGTTCAGCAAATTTCCTAGAAGTGCCGAAAATAACTGTAGCATTATAAACGTTCGCTGATTATAGAAAGTAAAAATAATAATTACACTTATTAGAGACCGAAAATAAATGCTTGTTTATGCCGCGAACGTAAACACCAGAACTCATATAAGATTAAAAAGCTTGTTTAATTTCGCTGTAATCGAACTCTGTGGGTTTACATATTGTTTCACGAGGCGGATATCCAAACAATTTCTATTGGAATCTTAGTGGATGTCAGGTTTCCACATTATTTTAAGTAAGTGATTTATGTTCACTATCTCATTTGGTTCTGATGATAATCGATCGTTGTTGGGAATGTGAAACGAAACATGGCGCATAGTCTGCCAGCCACGTTGTAGGTACTGTGCTTTACTTACAATTTATCACTCCTGCTGACACTTTATTTTAAGAGCTGTGAAAAAAATGTATATGATATTTTCGTGATTTTAACTAGTAATAAATCGGAAAACGCTTAATTCCGTTCGAGTCATTTGAATTTGCTTAAGTAAATGTATGATAAATATTAAAATAACCCACAGATGAAATCAAAAATACAAATTTACCACACCAATTTAAATTTTTTATTATAATAACCAAATACGTTAGCGTACTAACCCGGTTGATGAAAAACGATATCCTCACCTTAAGTATTGAAATCTGTTTCTGTTTGAAACAAAAGACTCCGCCGTAGCTGAAAGGCACATTCTACTATTATTTACAAGACATCAGAAACCAAACACGTATGATTTTGAATACAGTTTTGGTAAGTATACTGTCTTCTATGCAGGATGACCCAAACTTACGTGGAAAAGATTAACAAAGCATGGGTGCATTGAAAATAAGTTTAACTTAAAATTTAAAAAATGCTATAAATAACACTTTATGGCGAAATTATCCCCCAAACGCACCTTTAACGAAACACAGAATTTTTTTTGGACGAAACACAGGACTTGGGCGAATCGCAATTTGATATCATATAATTTACGTCTAGTCACAAACTCATTTACTTTGCTTTAACGAAAATCGGCATGTTATGGTAGAACTCACGAGTCTATCACATAAATGAATATCTGCATATGTTTTTTCCAAGTTTTGATTAAAATACCGTTCAAATTGCCATTTTCCCCAGTTAAAAATGGTAAAAATGGACACTCACCACTTAAAATCTGTGCTGAGCAAAAAAACTCAGATGCCATCTGAGATTTTGCCGTTTCCCAAATAAAATATGTTGAAAATGTTCAGATTTTTTATTTGACTAAACACCTTTTAGCATATTTTAATATCCGATTGATCTCGAAAACACACTAGTTTTAATGCTCAAAATGCCACAATTAAAACAAAAATCATACCACAAATGAAAATCAGGTCATGTTTATATTGATCGAACTACAAATAAATATCTGGCATACGGGGTACAACAAATGTGATAGATAATTAACAGGATCAATAATTTAAATATTTTTCATTCTAAAATGATTTAAGTAATTGAAAAACGATTGATAGATGCCGATAGTACGAAAACAATAATTCGTAATTAATGACAAAATGAATTATTTTATATGGGTTGAAAATAAAGATAGACAAACCAAATTTTGTTTTATTGGTGAATGATAGTAAGCTTTGTAGCCTCACCTCCAAAGATCTCGAAGTCTGCCATATTTATATTTCCGTCGTCGTAAAAACAGCCGGACAGTCATACTCATACTACGTATGTAAAATCAAGTAAAATATCTACTTTCTGAAAGAAGCGTGTGGTTGCATATTTCAGATTTCCTATTGTAAATCAACCATTCTGTACATGCCCAAGATGGTGCCCGTTATTCAAGACATTTGCTCAGGACGAAACGAACAGAAATTTTATACCAAACTTTTTGGTACATACTTACATCACTTTAAGAAGTAGACGGAAGCAATTTGCTTTAAAATACACAGAGTGCTCCAACAAAAATACACTAATATAAAGTTTTAAAAATGTCCGTTTAAACAATCGCAGTTATCTCGAAAACGATTGATTTTAAAGGTGTAAACATTCAGTAAGATTCCTTACGAAAAGTTTTGCTAAAGAAAATACGTTTGTATCTGAAGAAGCTAAAACATCACATAGCTATAAATAAAACACAATTTTTAAACACACGTTTTTTAACATTCATCTTAACAATTTATACTGAGCTGAGTTGTTACAGTTCAGTTATACAAACCTTGGTAAATGTAGGCCAAATGCTTTATAAATAATGCCATCCATTTTGTTTGATAAATTACTACATTTTCGGACATCCTGCATGCAAAATCCGAAAATTTTAATTTGAATTGGCATGAGGAAAAAGCTCAAATTAGACGGGACACCCCATATATTGAACAAATTGATTTACTGGGCTTCAAACACAGAAAAGTTTTCAGCAATCACATGTTCACCGATTTAATAAAAATCACACCTTCAACGCTCTGATTAGATCAAGACCAATTGAAGCCCACATAAATAACCATTTTGAACTATAAGCACACATATCAAGGATACAACATCACTTTCGAATATAAAAACCCCCATTCAAAGAAATTTTATGTACTAAGCCCGTTTCATGAAACGATTTATTAGATGTAGGTACATATCAAGTTTCCTGTAATGGATCTTCTTAGACTCTAGCGATTGAATAAATAACTATTTATCCTTTTTAAAATAGAAACTGCGTTTGCATGGGCGCGTGTGTTACAAATAAGTGCATCAAGACTCACCTTGGATCAGGTAATACAATCTTTTTGCTAGCTCTGGCTGCTGGTGTGCATTTGCTCTTCTCCATCGCCATCAGGTAGCTGACGTCGGCCAGCACGGCCTCTAGATCCGCCATCTCGAAGTCTACCCGTGTCTCCCGCCACTTATTTGATCTATGGGGAAACGGGTGGCCACTGAAGGGTGGATCACGGAATGCCACCCTTGAGCGATCTCATTTGGCCGCCACTTCCAACTGAAAACAAAACAATTCTTAACCATTTTATATACATCTCCAAGTAAAGATATTTTAGTTAATTAATCTTATTACGTGATGTATAATCAACGAAAGAACATTTTCAGGGCTTCTACCAGAGCTAATTACTCAAAATGATTGCTGGGTTTTCAGATATTAAACTTTAATAATCAGACATTTGTATTACAACAACCAAATCCTGTTATTTGCTGGATAAAAAACTCGTTTGTTCAAAACTGAATTTGCGTAATGACTGCAATTTCAATTCGTATTCGTATCAATAAGAAACAGTTTCTTCGTACATTATAATAGTCGTGGGTATATAATATATCTGTGAATATGGGATGCTTCTAAATGAACCAATTTGAAATAAAGCCGTCCATATAAATACTCATTCTTATATTATTGCATTCTGCTTATGAATTGAACATGTTTTAGGAAGATGTATTGCACTCACACAAAATACGTTTTCCTTGTGTACTATTATACGGAAATTGCACTTTATATTATATTTTACTTACTAGGAATCTGCGATCAAACAAAATTAACAAACGACAATATCTGGAGAAAAGCTACCCAAAAAATAATGACGACTGATTGGATATCTCTCCGCTTCTAAGATAAAAGGTTTTTCAAACTTCGAGGACACTCAAATTGTTGATATTTTCGCTTTTATCCCTTTGGAAGCCTAAAAGTTAATTAACTGGCTCGATAACTACGTAAAAGTCAGATGAAGTAAATATAAAAGAAAAACCATAAAAATATAAGAAAAAAAGATGTTTGTTGTTGTAAAAGGCCTTTCATTGAGAACGCCCCATTTTTAAATTCACACTTCTTATACACAGCGGCAATTTTTTATTTGTAACATTGATATTTATATTTGCACATGTCTACCATTTAATCATGGAACGGCTCACGCTTCAACAACGTTTACAAATAATCCAAATTTAGTATCAAAAATCGCGTTCTGTTACTCAAACTTTAAGTGCATTAACTCCAATTTTTGGCCGTTACAACCGTCTAGATAAAAGAACAATCGAACGTTTAGTCATAAAGTTCGAAATAAAATTTATACCTCATAATGCCATGCCAGTGAGACAAAGATATGCAAGAGGTGAAACAAATATTGATATACGTGAAAGTGTTCGTTAAGATCCAAACTTATCAATTTCTCATCTTTGTGGCGAATTTTGTGAAAAATACGATCCATACAAAATCGTTTTCACCCAAGAACTCAAAGCAACTGATCAAAAGAGACGAAAATTCAGTAATGGGTGCTTAGAAATAATCGAAAATTATTCAGATTTTCAATAGAAAATTATTCTCAGCGATGAAGCTCATTTCTAGTTAAACGGCTATGTAAACAAGCAGAATTGTTGGGTCTGGGGTGGCGACAAACCGGAAGAATATCAAGAACTGCCACTACACCTTAAAAAACTGAGTGGTGCAGATTTTATGCTGGAGGAGTTATTGGTCCATATTTATTTTATGAAAATTAATTCTGAAACCGATAAGACATCACACCGTTACATTTGTTTTGCTGAACCTTTTTTCCTCTAACTGTCTCGCTAGCATCGTTTCCTATTTTGCAGGAAAGTATTTAATTTGTCTATTTTCTGAGATATTATTGTGATATAAAATACTACAGGGGTTTCGTTGTACATTTTCATTAATTAAAATATTATTTTTAAATCAGTAAACATGGAGTTTTCTTGTTCATATTTTAGAATTTAAAGAAAAAAAAACTTCATTTTATAAAAATTTAAATGAGAGATTTTGGAGTTTGGTAATAATCAACATGGCCTCATGAAACTCATTTTAACACGCAAACTATGTAGTTTGTGCAGGTTCCTAAAAAACCTTGATTTCGATTTCGAATGTAAATTTCTGAAATTACTGTAGTTGTTTTAAGTGTCTAAAATTAGCTTTTTATGTTCCCTATGAACATTATCAGGTGTGACATTTGAGTTACAGCAAAGCCAAGAAACCAACATTCTTATCACTGTCGGTTACTCTCTTTCTTTTGACAAATTGTGGTTTTAAATCTAGAGCCATTTATTTTCGATGCTTAAAGCATTAAAATAGGCTTTGTTTGGAAAACAAAAGAGAATTGTGCTCTGCAAGCTGTTCCAACCAAAAGAGAAGAGCACAAAAATCATCGAAAAGGATAAATTAGTGCAACCACTAAAAAAAGAAGAGGCTGCAGCTACCCACGGAAAAGTTTGTTAGCTTTTGTATCAACACATTCGAGAATGTACCATTTGCCCAAAGCGAATCGAGCAGAAGCTTCATCAGAATATAAATCATACGTAGGAACACATCCAGATCAAATTTCATTCAAATCCATTGTCACATTCTCCCAATATTTCAAGGAACATTATTTCTTTGAAAACTTCGAATCGAATTGAACCCAGACGTTTTTTCTTAATAAAAGTTAAGTAATAGGTTACTATGTTCTTCATTTAATCCAAAGAATGTCGCACTCCTACCTATTTTGATCATGTGCTTACGAGACACCCTCTATACTGGGTGTCCCAGTTTTCATGACCGTGACTTCAGGTGTGGTTAGAAAACCGTATGTTTAATGATCTATGTCTTGTAATATATATTTTATGTTTGTATATCAATTATACATACATATATACATAATAATTGCAATCTCTAAAAAAGGAAGCGATTGGTAACTTCCTGGCGATTAATTTACTTGGCTATGTGGATTATTTCGTCCAAAAAATTAATTTTCTATCATCGACCAAAAAATTAAGATTGGCAACATAACACACAAGTATGACAACATTTATAAAGCAGTTTTTTGTAGATAAATCATAACATAACTGCTCATTTGGCGTATTTTTGCAATTCTGATTACATTGCAAATCTCAATCCAAATGCAGTTGCAGGAAGCAAATTGCAATGCAGCAGAACACAGATATCTAGAGGTAATTTTTGTTTTGATTAAATTCTGCCTGCACTCAACAATTTGCCGTTGACGTTCATGGAATTTGCCAACCTTGCTTACCAAAGCTATTTAGATTTATTATGTTGTTATAGGCTAACATTTTTGAAGTGGCACTGAAACAACTGAAAGAACGGGAAATTCGTTACAAAAACCAGTAATTCGCGTCATATTAAAACGTATAAATCGAAGTAGGTACTAAAAAACTTGGTTTAGGCGAGTGAAAATGATTAGATGAACATTTGGAATGAAATTATAGGTGATAATTAAGTAGGGTCCTTCAAATAGTCAAATTATTTTCTTCAAAAAGAATTACCGTTATTTCTTGAAAATCTGCGATTTCAGGGAAAAAGTTAAGAAATAACAATGTTTGCCACATTTCAGCTTAATTGCTTGTCGTATCGGTAAAGGCCCGATTACTGGAAAACAATTCGGCTGATAAATATATGCGTGCAAAGCAGGAGCGCTCGTGTTTTGCAGGGGAATCCAATTTTACTGGGAACCCATTTTTGAGCTGATTAACAATTGCCAGCAGGGCAGAAGCGCACGTGTCTTGCCAGGGAACCCATTTTTACTTGGAACTCGTTTTGAGCCGGAAAAAATTTGCCAGCAGGGCAGAAGCGCACGTGCTTTGCAGGGGAAACCCATGTTTTTTGAATGAAATAAATAGGCCCGCATAGCCAGACCGGGGAGAGTGTGTGATAGGTTTCGTCGCGATACCTATTGTTTTCTCGGGAGCGCGCTTGGACATCTTACCCGGTGAGCCAAGAAAGACTTTTACGAACGATTTTACGAACTATAGTGCGTGGCGTAGTATTTCCAGGGGGTATTCCCAAGTGGTGACCTTATTTTTTCAGAAGGTTTGTGTTGTGTTATTAATTATAAAGTTACCACCCATTATGAATCCGACCAATAATGAGATTCACCGTTCTGGT